GTGTTATCGGAGGGGCCGGTTCTCTATCCCTCGTTCTCGGGACGTGTTATCGGAGGGGCCGGTTCTTTATCGCTCGTTCTCGGGACGTGTTATCGGAGGGGCCGGTTCTTGGAGAAGGACCTCGTGCTTGGTAAAGGAGGTGATCAGTGAAAAAGAGGACGATCCTCCCTGAGATGGACTGACACTGTTGCCGCGGTGACGGGCTCAAGCGTGGTAACGGCTGTGAGGACAGCGCAGGGTGGGGCAGCGCTTCATTCTGTTGTATGTATAGTCCCTGTGAGTCAGAGCCACCTTGATAGCAACTAACAACAGCTAGTTGGAGCTGATACCATGACACCCAGTAACAGCTGGGTGAAGTCGTGAGTCAGAGGTGACACCATGGCACCCAACTGTAACAACAGCTGGATGACTCCTGAGTCGGAACGGACACCACGGCACCCAACAACAGCTGGATGAGCCCATGAGTCAGGGCCAGCTAGGCACCCAGCGACAATGACACCTGGATGAGGCCGTGAGTCAGAGCCGATGTGACAGCACCCGACAACAACCGGGTGAGCCTGTGAGTCGCAGCCGACACTGTGGCACCAAACACCAGTGACACGGTTCACGTCAGGATTCACTCCTGTGCAGCCTGTGGGTTCTGACAAACGCATGAGGTCACGCGTCTCTTGTGACTGTGTTCCGCAGAATCGTCTCACTACCCTAAAACTGACTGCCCTGAGCTCCCTCTGCCCCCTCCCCTCTAGGCCCCTGGCAGCTGCTGATCTGTCACCATCTTCTAGGTTTGCCTTTTCCAAAGTGTCAGAGAGCTGGAATCCTGCAGTGTGAAGCCTTTTCAGACTGGCTCTTGTCACCTGACAGTTTGTGTCAGGGCCCTGTGTCTTGGTGTCTTGATGGCTGTGACCGCTGAGCAGTCCTCCACCATGTGGGTGGGCTGCAGTTCATTAAACTGTCCCCTATGGGAGGACATGCTGGTTGCTTCCAGTTGTTGGCAGCTATGAGAGAGTTGCCGTCAACACCTGTGTGCAGGACTTCACTTGCGATTTGATACACTGTTGAACTCTTACCAGTTAGAAGCTTTTGAGAATTTTTGTGTCTGTGTCCATGGAGGACACTGGTCTGTAATTTTCTTTTTCTGCTGGTGGTCTGCCTGGGTTTGGTGTGGGAGTTATGCTGGCCTCGTAGAATGACCTGGAAGGGATTCCTTCTTGAGGTTCTGCAGTGTTTGAGCAGCACCGGCGTCGGCTCTCTCAGCGTTCGGCAGACTTAGCATGATTTGAGGAAGATGTTCTGCATCTGCTTATGGGATTCTTTGACTTGGTCTGTATCTCCCCTGAGGTGCAAGCTTTCTGAGGCCAGGGCCCTTCTTTGCTCCACCTTGGAGAGTGTCTCCCGTGGCCCATGGCACACGACGTGGCCGAAGGTCTGGTTGAAAGAACATGCATGCAAATTAGTTGCCATTTGGGTGGTAGGTCTTCTTCTTCCTTGCCCAGCCCCTGTCGCTCGGCTCTGCTTCTGGCCCGTAGGTACAGGGACCCAGGTGGGTGCAGGAGGAGGGACCCCCTCCTGCCCCACAGCCGCGTCTTGTGCTGCTCACCTTCCGCCTTGCCTGGGATGCTTGCTTTCAGAGCCTACATGGAGGATGCCCCGCTGCTGAGAGGAGCCGTTTTCTTTGTTGGCATGGCGCTGTGGGGGGCCCACCGACTTTACTCCCTCAAGAACTCCCCGACATCTGTGCTGCCATCCTTTTATGAGGTAACACCATTTCCGGGACGCCATGTGCCAGTGAGAATGGCAGAGCTCACTGACGTTAAGCCTGCACGGCCAGAGGGGGCCCTTCGGCTACAGCAGTGCAGCAGTGGGGGCTGGTGTCAGGGCTGGCTGGAGGGCTAGGTCCAGGTCCTCGTTTTCCACTGCATGTGAGATTGAGTGCCCTGGAGGCTTTATTTTCAAGTGAACCTTTTATGAATCCCATCTCCTGCAAATTGGCATCAGAGTGCCAAACTGGGGAGTGGTCACCTGCTGTTTCCGTGAATGCCGCTGGTAATCAGCGGTCTCCCTTGGTCTGCAAACGTCCTGGCAGCCCTATGGACCAGGGTGATCTCACGAGCCTTTTACGGTAAAGAGGGTGTTTGACCATGCTGTCTTGTGGGGTATCCACGGCCTCCTGGCTGCCCCTCTTTCTGCCGGAATCCTGATCCCTGGAGTGGCGAGGGCATGGTTTGGCATGCTGTTGTCTTGTGTTTGGGCTGGAACTTTGAGATCTGTGCAGAGGAGCAGGGCCAGGATGTTGGAGGTGATGGTAAAGCTAAGTCAGACTCTGGAACAGGCAGGGTTCAGGCCCTGTCTGGGTCCTGACTGCACTAGAGTGGTACGGAAAACACAGTTCTGGGCTCCTTGGACACCTCTGTGAGCCATGAGTCGTGCACGAGCTGTTCGTGAGTTGTGTTCCTGGGCCTTGTGTTCCAGGCCATGACCTGTCCCAATGAAGTCGTGTCCTACGAAATCGTTCTTTCCATCACGAGACTCATCAAGAAGTACAGGAAGGACCTGCAGGCTGTGACGTGGGACATGCTGCTTAACGTCATCGAGCGTCTGCTCCAGCAACTCAAAGTGAGCAAGCAAGCAGGCGGGCTGGGGTGGAGCCCCTCTCCCTCCCTCTCTCCCTCCCTCCCCCT